AGCGGAAGCGATGCAGGGTGGGAGGAGGGTTGGGGCAGACAGTGCCTGGCAGACACAGAGCCGGCTGGAGTGCGGCTGAGGGATCAGGAGGACAAGTCACCCCGCAGGGGTGCCTGCACAGCTGGGGGTGGGGGGTGGCTCAGGGACCATTCCAGTGGATCATTGCCCTCTCCCAGGGCTGCAGGGGGATTTTTCAGAGCAGCATCAGGGCTGAGGAGGTGCTACAGGACTGGGAGGCAGAAACTGCCATCGGGCTCAGAGCTGGGACTGCAGCTTTCTCCGCAGTGGGCTTTTATACCAATAAAGAGATGTAGCGGAGGTGCCTGGCAGCGGTGTTTTCCATGGGCAGGGGCAGCAGCTCCCTGGCTGTGCCAGGCAGGTCTATGAGGTGGAGGATGGGTAGAGCTGGGGAGCAGCAAGTTTGCATTGCTCTTGGCACCCTCCAGGGTTGGGTGTGGGCTGAGCTGGAGGCTCCGGGATTTCTCAGAAAGGAGAGAGGTCCTAGGCTTCGTGGAGAGCTCTCCGGAGCCTCCAGCACACAGAGAGGGGAGCAGGGTGGGGGCCACAGGGCTGGTACTGGCCTGCAAGGGAGCACAGGGACTGCCATCCTGCATTTCTTCAGCCTTACCAACCCCTCACTGTATTTTTCCATCACTTTATACAAATAAAAGGAGGAAGAAGGCCCAGAGGGATGAAGGGCAGGGCCAGGCCCTGCTAGGAGCCCAGTGCTGCTTGCTCTGGACCTTTGCCTGGGACAGGGAGGCTGCAGCTTTCTCTGCAGGTTTGAAAAAGAGCCCTGGGCTCCCTGTGCCATGGGGCCAGCTCGACTAGCACCTTTTCCTATCCTCCAGCCTGGAATAGCAGAAGCAGAGCTGGCCCTACATTTTTTTTTCTTTCTTTTTTTTAAACACATTTTTATCTTTTTATAACAAAAATATGTGCTGAGGCCAGGTGCTGCCCCAGGTGAGCAGTCTCTGTGCCAGGTCAGGGCAGCAGAGCGGTTGCTGGAGCGACAGCCCTCCCGTGGGCCGGGCAGGAGCGAGGGCTGGGGGCGGCAGGGCCAGCGCCACTGCAGCAGCAGCACGTGGCTCACACTGCATTCTCATCTGTGGTGGCTGCTGTGTAGATGACCTTGGATTTGCTTGGATTGTCCAGCCTGGAGGAGGAGGAATTAAGGTAGGTTAGCAGGGTGGGGGGAACCTCAAAAAAGCAACACTAACCCTCTTCCTATGAGGCTGCCCACACTTGTCTCCTGCTGTCCTCTGTCCACAGCAGAGATCCACCCATCCCTCTCTCCCTCGCCTGCAGCTCCCTCTGCATCCCATCACTCACCGTGCATTCTGGTTGCGGTGTTTGTGGATGTAGAGCAGGAAGGCCAGCGCCGTGACGGCAAAGAGCACTCCGAAGAGCACGGCCAGCACGTCCCCTGCAAGCGCAGGTGTGTTACAGTGGGCACAGTCCCCTGCGGCTACGGCCCGAGGGAGCCAGGGCCAGGCTGGGAAAGGCCAGGAGCCCGTGGGCAGAGGGCAAAGGAGACACAAAGCCAGCGGTCCCAAATGGGTGTACTTACCTGCCTGGAATGAACTGCTGTGTTTTTCTGTACCTGAAACATAGATGGGAGAGACGAACTGTGAGACGCCCCTGCACAGATGCTACCGGAGGCCTAGGACAGCTCAGCACACTGCACTCTGGTTGCCTGCCCCTCCAGCTAAGGGCACAGCTGGCAGGTTCCTCCTTTTCCAGGCACATACCACCCCAAGGGTGCATCACCCACCTCCCTCCTCTGTGCCAGCAGACCAGGCGCTCACCTACCTGCTTCTGATGAGCTGTCACTACCTGAAAGAGACACAGCAGTCAAGAGGTTGCCTAAGGTGTGGGGGAGTACCAGATCTGCAGGGCTAAATGTAGCATGGGCAAAGTAGGGCAGTCTCTAAAATCCACCACCTTTCTGCAGCAGACAAGGCAGCACTGCCTCTTTGCACCCTGAGCAGCTCACAGCATCCTGCCCGGCTCCACGACACCAGCAGAAGCATTGGGGAAGGAAAAACTAGAAAGAGCTGAACCACCACCTGCAGGGAGGATTTGCTGAACCCAGCCTAAAGTGCCCCACACGTCACTCTGCTGCTCTGTGCCGGGCAAGCAGCCGGCTGTCGAGTTGAGCAAGAAAGACCCCAGCAAGCGCACCCGGCCAGGCAAGACAGCTCCCGAAGCCAGGACAGGGGCGAGAAACCCCCTGCTCCCTGCGCGAGCAGCAGGCCCATCACCAGCGCAGCGGTACCTGCGCGTGGGGCCTGGCCGGGCCGTGCCCCTGTAGCATCCGGAGAGTATCCGTCATCTGTGGCAAAACGAGGGGACAAAACTCAGGCTCATCTCTTCACTGCCAGCAGCCCCTGAAGGAGAGGCGGCAGCTGGCAGGGGCTGGCACG